AAAGATAAACACCAGTTTTTTGGTGACATCGATTAAGCAGTTAATTTATCGTGATTTCATGTTGTTTACAGATATTTGGTGTGATGTCCTTCGTTACCCAAAAGATTGGCGAGCAACTGGTGTTATTTATTACTTATTACTGACAGCATTTATTTTTATCATTGTGCAATTATTTTTTTCAAAATGAATGAAATTAATTGGATATCATCGTATGGGACCTCGAAAACTTTTAAGATGAATCAGAGGATTACAGTTTCTGTTTCAAAAAATAAATAAAACGAGATAAAATCTTTTTGATCATAATTCTAACAATGCATAAGTTTGACTTTAGTAATTAAACAAAAATTGTTGGAAAACATAATTATTGTTTAGAAAAAAAAAATAATGATCCATTATAGAGCTAAAAAGCATTTAGACATCAAGAAATAAACGCTAAAAATAAAAGATTTGACAGTAACCTTATAATCAATCGTATTGTCTAAAATAATAAAAAATGTTTGCTCTCTCCCTTTTCTGAAACTTAAAAATCCTCTTAAATTGTAAAGGATATTTATAACAATATTATATTAAAACAGAGATAATAATATGCTAAAAGAATATTAACAAATAAGTTAATTCCATTTGCTACAAATATTTGTTGAAAAATATCAAATGTAAATAGTAACAAAGAAAATAAATATTTTATTTTCAGGCCTGAAAAGTTCATCATACGAATAACAACTTTTTAAAATTCATTCCCTTTCAAAATAATGAATTTCAAAATACATTCATTGTCGTAACTACCTTCAAAAATATACATATTTATTTAAAGTCGGGACAACAATTTAACGAAATGAAATAAAGCAATTAGTGCACAACCCCCAGTGTTATTCCTCAAAGGTATGTGAGGGCGGATGGATTCCTTTCCGAGAAGGGGGTCACCAGGCAAGCAGATCAAATTTCAAGTCCCCCGACTTACGATTACACTCTGACTTTTAACTACGGCATTTTAGTTCAAAATTGTAAACGGATATTTATCGTCTGAGGCGACCCCTTCCTTCTCTCCAAAAGCAGCCCCTGAACAGATCTCGAAGGGTTTGCTAAATGCTCCCTTCCCTGACGGAAGGAAAGGGGAACAAATACTACTGTGCCCAAAAAGTAAGACCAATTATTTTTTTTTTTCAAAAACTCTTTATTTATTCTTCCAAATTTATTTCATCGCCTACAAAGCAATGCCCTCCGGACACAATGCATTTATGCCAACTTCTATTCCAATCCTCAATGCATGCTAAAATGTCATCGGCAGGGATGGCCTTCAAAGCGCGCGCCAATTCACGTTGAATCTCTTCAATCGACTCAAAACGGTGTCCCCGGAGTGGTCTTTTGAGTTTAGGGAACAGCCAGAAGTCGCACGGTGTGGATACGGTGGTTGTGGAACGATATGGGTTTCAGTTTTGGCAAAAAGGTCACGAAGAATCGATGCAGTGTGAGTTGGAGCATTCAGTGTTTTCGGTACCATTCGAGATTTGACGCTTTTGAGGCCCAAAATGGAATTAACCGATCCTTTTAAAATTCCAACATCATCAGCAAGGTCTCTAATTGTAAATTGACGGTTTGCAAGCACCGAATCTTTAATTTTTATATTTTATTGTGAGATTCGTCGGTTGAGTTTGATGGTCGACCAGAGGGCTCTTCGTCTTCACCGCGTTCTCTGTCTTTTTTGAACTGTTTGTACCATTTCTAAACATTTCTTTCCAATATAGAAATGCTCCCCGAATGCCTTCTGCAACATTCTATACATTTCCGTAAACAAAATTTAATGCAAGTTCTTTGTTTAATTATTTCAGACATTTCAAAAATCTCCAGAATCAGTTTTAGCGTCTCACAAAGCCAAGTGTATCTCAAACACCAATGCATATTTTGACGTCAAATTTCACACAGATGTCAAGGACAGTGCCAGAAACCTAAAAGAGAGAGAAAAAAAATTGAAATTCCATAAGCCCCGGGAATATTAAAATTGAAAATTAGTCTTACTTTTTGGACATAGTAATATTGAAAAGGGAAAAAACAATAATAAGTAACAATCTCATGTATGTAATGAATTGAAATTTTAAAAATGAAATAGTGGGTTAAACCAAGGCACTTCAAACAAGGATCTATGAAACTATGGAATCTACATATATAAATGTTATATATGTAAGATATATATATAGATAATTTTAATGGCCGTAGGTTGCATTTATAACACAGTAAAAATGTGTTTTATTTTTTTAATTATACTTACTTTAAATTACCCTTAAATGAAGTTTATAAATATAAAAACTAAAATAAATATCATTTATATGAATTGGAAAATAATTTTTTATTCTGTATATTTCAAAATAATTAATAGTAATAATTAATTTTTGAGTTATTACATAAAACAATTTTTTTTAATAATTTTCTTACCCCAGAAAAAAAAATATTTCAAAAAAATATATATATATTAAAAATATCTCGTATACGTATCGTATAAAAAATAATAACATATTAAATTACTTTTTTAAGCCGTAGATTATTCAAAAACGGAGCAAAACTAATATTTTTTTCATGAGTCCATATGGGCTCGTGGGCTTGGCCAGCCAAAATAGATTATTCAAAAAATAAAACTAATATTTTTTTTAATTCGAGGAAAATAATTTCATTTTACTTCTGGAAATTATTTATAATTATCATTTTATTCTTTCAGCTGTCCATTTAGAAATTAACAACTTACAAAAAAAAAAAAAATATTTCGGAAAGAAATTAATTATTTTTTTTTTTACAATTTTAATATGCGTGAAATATAGCATGGGGCTTTTTTTATTTTTTTATAAATGATTTTAAAAGAGGAAAAAAAAAAAAATTAAAATTTTGAAAAATATGGAAATCATGAAGTTTAAATATTTTTATTTAGATTAATTAAACTTTGTTCCATAAGAAAACGATAAACCAGAATTATTAATTAAAAGAAACACATACATTAGACTAAAAAAAAAAAAAAAACCCGATTTTCTACCCATTTGTAAAAAAAAAAAAAATTGCTCATTAGGACTTTAGTACAATTTTATATTTTTAATAGATAAGAAATTTCAAATCTTTATTTTTCATTCGTGTGCCAAATTTTTAATACAAATTTCAAAACTAGATATTATTTTAACTTTAATTATTGGTTTTTAAAAAAATAATAACTTTACAGAAAAAACATGTCAAAAGTAACTAATTTTTTTTTTTTTTTTTTTTTTACAATTTTAATCTGTGTGAAATATAGCACGGGGCATTTTTGTAAGGGATGCAGAGAAAAAAATTTATTTTCTAGCTATCTTGTAAAGAATTAAATTCTTCATTAGGACTTTTGTAAAATTTTTCATTTTCAATAGATAAGAAATTTCAAGCCTTTATTTTACCATTTGTGGGCCAAATTTTTAAAATCTAGCATTTTAAGACAAATTTCAAAATCTAGGATTAAATTTTTAAATCTCCAGGAATCTTTTTTTTATCCCAAAACTCTTAAAAACTCATAAATATAGGGTTTTTTTCCAGAAAATTTCTTTAAATGGATTCAAACATTCAACTTATACACATTTCAAATAAAGATTTTTTTTTTTTATTAAAATACCAATAATCCAAAAAACAGCAAACAAACAATTTTAATTTTATAATAATCTTTATTATTAGTAATTGTGACATATCATGAAGTTTAAATATTTTTATTTAGATTAATTAAACTTTGTTCCATAAGAAAACGATAAACCAGAATTATTAATTAAAAGGAACACATACATTAGACTTCTCTAAGTATTCACAGGCGAACGCATTTTTGCTACATGAGTAAATCTAATTAGGTCCTCATTATTATGAAGCAGCTTTCGGAAATTGTCAGTGAATTCATAAGCCATGTGACATTCCTGATCATTTTCTTCTTCCCATTTTTAGAGAAGAATAGCAGGTGCGGCGGTGTTGGGTTTCCGTGTCTCGTTCCCGCTGAAGTTGCGGACGGCATAACTGCACTTGACAACCGAAATTCAAGATGGGGGAGGTTTGGAGGTTGCCACAAATTCCTTTTTATTTATGTATTTATTTTACTTTATTATTTTTTATAAATGCAATACTGATTTTCTAGTTAACTGCAAATAAATGTGGAATTTTTTTTCAACGTTAATGAATAGTAGTTTTAGCCAAGAATGTTTTTATGACATATTGGGTTCAGTCGCATAAGTTAGACAGCCCATATGCTATGGCCACTTTTCAATTAGGCGCAATTGTTTTTTGTTAAACATTTAGTATTTCAGTGAATCAGTGTTTTTCTTATCAGTGTCAATTTTTTTTATCGCACACGAATTTATTAATCGAACCGGAGTTTTTCCTGGTGTAGTTTTATTAAATATTTTTCAACTGCCAACCGGCGTACCAATTACGGAGTACCTATGGGATAAACAAATTGGGATAGCTAATTTTTTTTCAATGTTAATGAATAGCAGTTTTAGCCATTTTATTTCAACAATGTTTTTATGACATATTGGGTCAGTCGCGCACCCAGTAGGGGTGACAGCCCATAAGTTATGGCCACTTCCCACTTAGGCCCAATTTTTTTTTCTTCTGTTAAATACTTTGTATTTCAATGAATCAGTGTTTTTTTTTTATTATTATTATTTTTTTTTTTTTTTATTTATCACTGTTAATTTTATTATCGCGCCTGAATGTATAAATAGAGCCTTGAGTTTTTCCTGGTTTAGCTAAATGTTTTAAAATGGTACTCTGAAATAATAAAAAAAATATTTAAAATAAAATAAAAGTAAGATACAAAAATAAAAATAAATTAAATTAAATTAAACAGAATTTAAATTAAAAACTCTGTAAGTAGGTCCAGTTGCTGAAGCCATAGAAAGTTACTTGCTAAAACATGTGGAGCATATCCGTAATGAGGATTAAGTAATTCTGAAAGACAAATATAATTTAATTTTCTCCCTCCTTCCCGAAAAAAGCGCTATTTAAAAAAGTGCTTCCCCAGGTGACGCTCGAACTCACAACCCGGGCATTATTCACAAGTACTGTTATTATAAGTATCGTGCGCTAACCAATTGTGCCACTGGGGACATAATGTGTTTATTAAGCTATCGAAATTGGCATAAACAATGAAATCGATGAGCTAATCGATTTTTTAAAATTAAATTCTTATTTTTTGGACAATGCTTTTTATATTAAATGTTATCTTCATTGTTCAAATGTTATCTTAATTGTAATCTTCATTATCTCCGTTATCATTTAAATCAAATTAGTGCAATGTAAAGATTATTAATAAAATAATTTATCTTTAAAATTTTGACTTTAGATACCGTTTCTGTAACTTTCCTTTTTCTTTGTATGAACTACTGAGCTACCATAAGTGGTTAATTTTTATTTCCTTGAGCCCTTCAGCCCTCCAAGACAAAATCATGGGAGTGCACCTGATTGGTATTCTAAATTATTCTATTTTATATCCCAAATTGCTGTTTAATATATATTTTATTCATACAAAGCTTTCAAATACAAAGCTTTTCGAATAAAGACGATTTGACAAAAAAAACGATTGATCTTATTTTAATAAAGTTTACCATCTGAACATGATCTAAACCTCCTTTTAATTTTCTCCCAATGTTTTTGACATCAAGGTTTCTCTATGAAGAAGCATTTGCTTATAATAACATGTAAGGTCCTCAATACAGTCTGCCATGGCAGGGGCTCCATCTATACAAATGCCTACATACTATTTCCATGTTAATTGCCATTTATCAAAATAGTTATTCAAAGTGTTAAAAAGTCATCATCTTCTGTAGATACATTTAATTCTTTGCCAATTCTTCGCCTATTAACTGTATCGTTGGGCTGTGGAATCTTTTTATTTTCATTGCTGCTTCATTTCCTAGCATTGTCATGACCTTTTTTCCGAATGCAGGCAAAATTATAACTGATTTTAAGTATCAACTTTCATAATTTTTGCTATCAGTTTTGACACTTGATAAGAAGCAATTTGAAGTTAATTAAAAACAGTTATTATACTTTAAAAAGTATTTGCCGCTTTTGTTTGAGTTCAAACAACCTCTTGAAAAAAAGTTACAGGTTTATCTTGTAAATGTGTATAGTTTTAAAATGTTTACTCAGTTTACTAGGAAGTAATGATTCACTTGCTATTTTAAGTCTACATGCCAAAGGATGACCTTCACTTCCGTTCAAATGAAACCAAAGTCTACATAACTTTCATTATATATATTTGCGAGTAGGCGGCGATTTTACTTCATTACTTGTATTTAACTTTTGTTCTCTTACATCACAGAATCCGATTCTTCACCATCACACTTCTTTTTGAGAAATCTGTCCATTTTATTTAGTTGTATTTATCTGAAATTAAGTAAGGTGCACAAAACATCCACTTTCAACACTTTCAAAATAAATATTAGACACAACAAGAATACCACATCCACTACCAATGCCTCACAGTTGTATATTCAGATGGTCAACTCCACTGATTACTGACGGCGGAGTCTCATA